AAAAAATGATTTTTTCCCAGCGTCGAAAATTAGTCGCACACAATTTTGCTTCTTTTGAAAACAAAAAGTACAAAATTAAAATAAGCTTTACTTTGCACATTGTAGTTCTTTTCACGCTGCATCTCCTGGTATATTTTGTTTTTCTAAAACAACTTATTAAGTGATGCAAAAATGAAATGGAAAAAGGGCGTTTTTTTTGTCCGAGGGAGAATAATCAGAAAAATAGTAAAATGTGTTTTATTTGATGATTCACTCAGTATAAAAGTTATTTGCCTTTTAAACTTTTTTATTTTGTTCAACAATACAAAAGGCGACTATAACTTACAGGCCAATTTTTGACTAAAAAATGGGATGTATGTAGGTTTGTAGAGGAAGTCTTCCTCTACAAACCTACATATATCTCGTTTTTTAGTCAAATAGTTATAGTCGCCTTTCTTTTTGCTTTCGTCAGAAGAAGTTATCTAACAGATCTCACAAAAAGAAAACATTTTTTTCCAATACTTTTAATTATTATATCATGTGAAATTTATTTATTTAAAAATCATTACATCCAACTTGAGACAAAAGTACAATACCTGCACCTCTTTAAATGAATAATTCATTGCAAGAGAATAAGGTCTTCAAAAAGATGTGAAGTTACCGAATAAGAAATCATTAAATCGAATACTTGTTGTCATGTTTCACATTTAACAAAACCTGTTATAGCAGCCAAAAGCAAGCACTCAAATTTTCAATTGTCATCGATCTGTTGAATTTATCTCAAAACGCCATTGGTTTTACGAGAAAACAGGAAAATTTCTTGGTATATTTTAACAAAATATATTTGTAAACATTGAAAAATGGAAAAAGAAAGTCAACTATTTGTAATTTCGTCATCTTAACACAAGTAAAGCTCGTTGTTCAGATTCCCTTAGGGTCTGCGTGGCACTGCCGGTCAGCATGCTGCGTAATACTTCTGTTCACCTATTTAACCAATCCAACTCATACCCACATGTCCATAAGTGCACTATTCACCACACTTAAACATCAACGACCGAAACCAACACATCCATATCAACATCATACATCGGAGTCCCACATTTACACTGACAACCACAGTGATACCTACACCCCACATCGTTGAATTCTCTCCCTTTTGCATATATAGATCAACAACGATGAAACTATTTGAGGGTATGTGAGTGTGAAGTTTGGTCTTCTCTTTATTTTCATTCACCTTTACATCTCTCTATACTCTCAAATAAACTGGCTAAACCATGCATGCAAAGATTTACAAATGAAAAAGCTCTTCGTACTACTGTTTCCAACATCATAAATTCTTTTTAATATGAGCTCGTACTTTTATTGTAATCTCAGAGAATTTCTACTAACGAGAATGTAAAAACGGAGACAAGTAGAAATAGATCTAAAGCTGATTTTTGTGGCGGATATTAACGCGGAAGTTTGATATAAACTTTTGAGTTACCGCCACCCCGAATTTGGATCGAAGCACCTGTGTAATAATCATTGTCCAACTCAGCTTCATGAAGGCTAATTGAAATCTTGCGATGAATGAGTGCCTCGCAAAAATCGTCTTCTGTAAGATCAATCAACGTGGCATCGCATTGAACAGGATAGCTCTCACGGCACGTATCAATTCTTAGATGAAATTTGTGTTCAGCGCAGCCTCCACCATAGCGAACATTTATTTCAATCGTTTTAGTCTTGCTATTGTAACTTCCATCTTCAATGAGTGGCATGTTCTGTGCGAACACCATGGCAAAATAACAAAGAATAATAACATTAGTTAACACTACTTTCATGTTAAATGCTTCTTGTAACTAAAAAACAATGATGTCAATAGATGGGATTTTGAAATAATAAAAGGTAAGATAAATGATGAAGAAAAAGAAGCACAGGTGATATTGACGAAGTTTAGAAATACTCCGTTCTACGCCCCTTCTATGTTGAGAAAGGCTTAGTTTTTAGGAGGCAGAATTTGATCGCATGCAGTTTTTCTAATAGAAATCTAAGATAAAAAGTCAAATGACATTTTTATTTTTGCCATCAACGTGCAAAATGACACTCTGTTCTTTTAAACAAAGTGTCACAAAGTTTCGAAGGTGTTGATTGTTAGAATTAGATGAAAAAACACAAATATTTCGAATGAATTTATCAGCGCTTTCTTACTGAGGGAAAGGCTTACATCCCAATTTTTGCAAAAGTTGCGTTTAATGCTCAGTGTTTTATTCAGTTTTTTTTCATTACTTCTAACAACATCAATGGAATCTACGAGATTCGATCGAATCTAGAAATATCTTCCAATCAGTCTCCTGAGTCATCGATCTCGCGCCCCCTTCGCTTATACCTTGTAGACATTAAGACTACTGTCGCACGTGAACTTTAAAACTACTTTGATATAGTACGTTCAATTAAAGTTAACTACTTTAAGCTTTAAAATTGAATTAAATTCTCCTACAAGATTTTTTTGCAAAAAAAATGGTATTTCTTTCATTAAAAAAATTATTTATTTTAAAAGATCATTTTTTTCACAAAAAATATCACCTTTTCCGCGTATATTTCATTTTTTTATGAATAAATAATTCTTTTTACAAAAAATGCTTGTAAAGTAATTTAATTTAACTTTAAATTTCAAAAAGTTAAAGTTTAAAGTGAAAGTGCTACCCCTAATCGAGGCACTCTTGACACTTGCTTACATAAGATTCAATAAAAAATATACAACTTCTAGCATTCAGTAACATCAGGTGAACAATTCTTTTATCTAATATTTCATAAACGAGGTAAAAGGAAGATAAAATAAAAATGGACAGAACTTAACTTTAAACACGGAAGATATATTTTGTATACAGAGCACTGTTTGTGGGCTAGGGCATTGCCTGCATTCGCATAGGTTGCTTAAAGAACTGTGTCAAATATGAAAGAGTAACAAGTTTTGATAGACAGAAAGACGTTTCAATGAATCAATTCAAAGGTTAACTGGTAGATGTCAGGATATCGAATGCACTACTATTAGTCACAAAATTTAGAAGTTAGGAGCTTCCATACGATGAAAAGCAAAGTGTAAAATAGAATGTCTATCAAACATGACAAGGTTCTTGAACACTTTGTCATCATGGTGGATCCTTGGTGTTCGAAACACTGATCACATGATAAAATTGTGAAACTTAACTTACTCATTAATAGAAAGAGAGAGAACGAAAAAAATTATCGATTGGTTCATCTGGTTGAATCAACGAAGATAGAGTCAAAGGAGATGACGCTAGCTCATGATCGATGATCTAGACATTTCTGAAGAACTATTGAGGCATGTTTAGATTTTCATGAAAGCAAATTATGGAACGGACCTGGGCCGATAAGATCATGTTTCTGCTCACAAAATGTTTAGATCTTAACCGTGGGTGGCGCGTTGACTTACATAAAATTAAATTTAAAGTAGATATATTCCGGATGTTCTCAAAATCATCCTTGTCTTGTGTCCTAACCAGAGCTGCCGATCTGCTGGCTGCGATATGATATTCATTTCTTTAGTAGTCATCTTGAAACATGAGATGGCACTACAAGTTGATGATTTTATTCACTTTTAAGTTCGTCATTTACAATTGGTGAATAGTCTAGATCGCAAGAGTGAACAAATTGAATGAAAAAAGGAGAGAAGACAATATTTGTGGTCGATTTATTTCAGCGAAAATAAAGAAAACAATGATTTTGTTTAATTGAAAGACAAAACACATTTCTTTTTACAACTTTTTTTATAGGTAGCAATTTAAATAAATAATGTCAACTGAACATATTCATCGTTTATCAACCTCTTCTACTTCATCTATTTCTTCAATGTCAATTGATGATATTCACATTTTATCCACCTCTCCTGCTTCATCTACTTCTACGTCATCAAATACAAATGTTTCGACATTTTCTTCTTCGTCAAATACAAATGTTTCATCATCTTCTTCGTCAAATTCGATATCATATTCTAGTGAACGAATATGTTATTTATTAAAACATGAAAAACAACAATACGATATTGTTGATAATAAACCATCATCAGCTGTTGGTTCATATTGGTCTATTTTTGGATTCCCAACAAGTTAAACAAAGAAACCGGCCGTTTTGAGAGAATTATGGGATTTACAAGTTGTCATAAATGTAAAAAGACTTTTGTCTATGGTCCACATAGTGGAACTACTCATATGAAGCAACATCCATGTATTATTACTGATAATATGAAAACATCAACATAAACATCAATTGATAAAGTGATGTTAATTCGTAAAACATTAAGTAATGAACAATCAAAGGTAATCAAAGATTTGATGGTACGTTGGGTATGCAGTGATAATCGTCCTTTTTCCATAATTGATGATAATGGCCTTCGGGCACTCATTCAAGAATGTGTGAAATTGGGTATGCATCTTTTTTATTTAATATCTATTAAATATACCTTTTTAGGAAGTATTTATGGAAATATTGATGTAAATGATATACTTCGTGGTCGAACAATAATTTCTGCTCATTTACAAGTTGTTGCCAAATCCTGTCGTGAACGTATTAAAGAATCATTGCAGGAACCATACAAGAACAGATGTTTGTCAATATCACCAGATTTCCGGTGCGACAAATATAAACAAATTTCTTATCTTGGTGTTACAGCAGTAATTGTTGATGAAGGTTTTAAATATTAGACAGTTGATCTTTTCTGTAAACCATTTCAAGAACTTGAAAAAACTGCTGCAAATATTTTGATTGTAATTTTAATATTTCACTTACTAATAAACTTCTATTAATATTGTTTATTATTACTTTCTTGAAGGCTTTACAAAATGAGATGAAAGTATTTGGAATTGACGATTTATCAGCAATTAATATTGTCTGTGATAAAGCCTCGAATTTTTAAAAGCAATTCGAGATTTACATCCGATTACTTGCTATGGACATAGATTGAATAATGTTCTTAAACGATCATTCTTCCAACATCAAAAACAATTACCTACATTATCAGCTACTTCTATTGAAAAACCTTCTACTAGTGATGAAGAAGATGATGATGATTCATTTTATATCCCATCAAAACCGGTAAAAGCAAACAAGAAGTTAAATATTTATACGAACGTCGTGAAAGAACAAATGATGATAACAAAATTGATTGATCCTCCACCAGCTGTTCAACTATTGATTAAATCAATTGTTGAATGTAAATCGTTGGCAAAATACATAAAAAAAGTAAATTCATACACTTCTTTTTCAGCAAATGAATCCTATGAGATATGTTGATTTTAATTAGGCTGGCTTGAATAAGGAAATTGAAGGAGCTGGTGGTGTTGCAATACAGCAAGCAATTCTTATCCGTTGGATTTCTTTAATTAATTTGTTGGAAAGTATTAATGCATCATTTATACAGATAAAAGTCGTTTTAATTCCTCGAAAACAATACCAAAGAATATCCGGTATTAATCAGTATTTGGTGAAACAAACAATACGCCTTTTAAAGCCATTTAAAGCAATCATTAAAATGATACAATCAGGATCAAATCCAACATTATATCTAGTATTACCATGCACCTTAAGTCTTCAAAAAGCATTAAAATCTTTCGATAATCTCTTACAACATATTGGTAAATATGAAGGTCAAGAACTAAATGATAATTATAATGATGAACAAGAAGATGAAGGTAAAACAATAGTAAAACGTACTCTTCTTTTATGTAACTATTTTTAGGTGTAAGTTATATTCGTCAACGGATATTAACATTATTACACGATATGATTGATTTAGATATCAGACATTATTGTGCAACTCTTTTACATCCAGATTATCGTAGTCTTAAAGGATGTACAAATGATGAAAGAGTTGAATGTCACAATTATGTTCGAGAACAATTGAAATTAATTGAAAAAGAACAGAAGAACAACAATAATGACATACAAAAGAATAAACCACTCAAATCCGAACATTCATCTATTCTAGATGATTTTAAAGAGGATGCAAATACATATGATGATGAGTGTGATGATGATTATGATACCAGAAGTGTTGAATATTCATTACCTATGAGTCAATCTGATGAACTTAGCCGATATTTATCGATGAAAATCGATATGAAACATTATCGTTCTGATGTTCTTACATACTGGAAATCAAATACTGATGAATTACCTCATTTATCACAAGTTGCTAGACAAATTCATAGTATTCCAGCAACTAGTGCTGGAATAGAGCGGCAATTTAGTATTGCAGGACTTACATTAACTAATAGAAGAACTTATTTAGATCCTGAACAATTGGATAATGTGCTTTGCATTCGTACTGTTGCCAAATTGAATAGTCAAATGTAAATGTTCTTTCTTATTGCTGTTAATCTCTCCTATTCCCTACGTTTTACTTATATATTTTCTTTTAACTCTTCGTCGTATCCCGGATCATATGTTGTTTTTGTTATTATGCTTAAATATCTTTCGATTATGTAAAGAAGTATTGATATCATCAAAAAATCTCGTAAATTCAAGTCTTTCTTGTATGAAAAATATTTAAGATGATTGTCTCTTTGTTTTAATTTGCTATTTTGTGCAAAAACTTGTTATTCCATTATCTTCATGAAGATAAATAAAATAAATAATTGAAGTTGGAATCATGTATTAATACAGAGTTATAGAATATAATGGATTTGAAAAATCAGAAACATCAATTGGCCTGTAGATCAGGCCAGGCCAGGCCGGAAAAGAGTGGCCTGTTGACATCTTTGATCATTATTAATTGTTCATCGACCATTATCGTTCTCAAATGTATTCTTTCAAAGTGTTTCAACAAAATCAACAAAAAGAGATTTTTCACTTTTTGTTTTTAATTGAATAAAATAAATTCGAAGTAAAAGATAATTTAGACGAAAAATCATTGGTCGATCAGACAAAAAACGAAAAAGTATAACGTGTTGAACATTCATCAAAAGATTTCTCAACAGTTAAATGGCTTACAGAATAAAATGGGAAAAGTCATTGGCCTGAACGAGATTTAGTTATCCACCATATAAATAAAAGGAAGTACAAAATCCAATTCGATGGTATTGTGTAGCTGAATGATGATTGAAATTTTTCTATGAAAAAACAGGTGTTACTGTTCCATATATGTTTTTTTATTTTTTACTTATTTATGATTTCAGCAAAGAATATATCGTTTGATGGGATGATTTCATTGAATATCTTATTTTTAGCTGCACTGTTATTGCTCTCGTCAAAAAGTAAATGAATAATTGATTTTATTGTTTATTTTTGAAAAGATTTGTTTATTGTTAAAAAATAGATTAGCTTGAACAATATGATCCGAATGGTTATTCTTAAACTTGCATATTTTCAAATAAGATCATTCACAATTATGTCAATGGTGATATTTAGAAATGAGTTCGAATTAAATCTATCCATTTTCCTTTTATCTAAATATTTTTGTTATAAATTCTATTTGAATAATAATAATAAAAACCACGCTTTTATTGATTTATTTATCACACATTGACAATAATGAAGTACGAACTAATTAAATTGAATTTTTGTATAAAAAAATACAAAAATAATTTGTTCGTTGAGAGAAGACAAAAAAAACGAGAAACAACCACAACATATTTTAATTTCATCTCGAATGCACAGAATTTGAAGCAAACGACTAGAGAAAGTAGAAGAAAAAAAATGCATTGATGAGCTTGATTAAGAATTTTCTTTTTTGTAAAATTTTATTGTCGCATGCATATTTCTTTAAAACGTTCAGGTAAAAGAAATATAAGAAATAATTGTACAACAGTCATCGATTGTTCACATGGATCCATAATACCACGTTGAAGCCATTTTGGTATTGTTAAACGTGCATGACGAAAACCTAATTTTTGTAAAATATAATCAGCACCAAATGGTTCAACTTCATTTCCATATGCAGTTAGAAGTTTTATTGTTGGTTGTAATTTCCATTTCGTATCTGGACAATGAAAACGACGTATGTCATCGCTTGGAGGTTCATCAAATGATGTTAATGTTTGAATATCAACTGGATTTGAAGGTGTTGTCGACAATGATGATGGCTGTGGTGGTGCTGGTGCTGTTGATCGTTGTCGTGGTTTATCATTTGTTGTTGCAGTTAAAGCTAAACAAAGAGAATAATTTTTAATTTGTCTTTTTTTGCTTTACCTTTTTCTTTTTCTTTAATATAAGATGAAATAAGATCATGTAAAAAATAAAAATGCTCAGCATTAAATGTAAACATAATATGTTCATAAAATTCTGTTTCAAAACTACAATATATTTCTCCTTAAAAAGTAAAATAAACTTTAATTTAATTTAATTGATTATTAAAAAAGTTTTTACCATTTAATTGACGTGTTTGAAAACTTAATTCCAGACCGGGAAGAATAAATATTGACTCAGCATTTTGTTCAAATTGTTTTGAACGTACTTTACTTGTTGGTGTTGGATTTGGAACATCATCCATACTTGGAAAATCACGTAGACCTAAAAGAATGATTTAATCAAAATATTGTGAGAGATCTCTTTAAATGCTTTCTTTGATTTCAATGATTTTTTTGTCTATAAATACTTTCATAGTATTCTAATGAAAAAATATTAAAAGGATTTGGGTTTCTATCAATATTTGAGTAAGTTGTCGAATATTTTTCGAGAGGTCACAGTTTTTCGAAAAACTCGTATTTTGATGTGAAACTATACTAACTTCTATATAAAAACTCATCCTTTATTCTAATTGGGAACTCTATTCGAGAATGATTAATTGCGTTAAATTTTTTTTTCTATAAGAAAAAAAAATAACGTACCAACAGCAGAAATAGTTGAACTAGCATAATTAAACCATTCATTAATAGTTAAATGTGATGGTGCTTCATTACTATTTCTTGTAACTTTAGATATAGAAGCCATATTTGTACGAGATTTAAGACTAGATGGCATTGTTTGTCCTTGATGACCCAAATAGAAAAATAATTTTTGATTAACTAGAAGAAAAAAGAAATTTCTTTTCATTTTTAGTATAAAATTATAATAAACTTACTATCTCCTTTCTCTCCTCGATCAGTAACAAAATTAATTTGTGGTTCATTAAGTGAAAATAAAGCCCATTGACGTGATTTAAAATTTAAACCATGAAAAACAACTAATGTTAAATTATGTCCTTGTAACATTAATTCTCCTCCATGCATACCAATATATCGTTTAATTATATTTGTATCATATTTTGATTGTCCATTTGTAGTTTTGTTTTCTATATTATTTCGTTTAATACCATCATGAAAATCATATTGAATTGATGCTAATAAATTTTTTGAATTAAGTAATTGTGCATTAAAAAATTCAGTTAATTTCATAGCCATTTTTATTATATCAGGTGTTGTTGAACGTGTTATCATTAAATGTAATTGTGACCATTCAAGATTAAGAAATACAAGTGTTGATGGTGGTGTTAATTCATTACCAGGTATTCCATGATGATCATCTTTTAATCGAAGTAATATATGACATATACGACCCATTAATGTTGGTGAACCCATATAATCAAGACGAAGTTCAATTGCATTTGTTAAAACATCAAATACATGTGATGATTCATTGAAAAGTGCAAGACCATGAAGACCTTGACGAATAAGACCTAATAATAAAAATAAATTTTGATCATACTACATGACAATGATACTCAGTATATTCTCGAAGAACAAATGGAATTCAAACAAAATGAAAGGAAAACTAGAATATCTTTTTTATGTCACAGGATAAGGTATATATTAAGATGTTGTGATTGAACACGTACCGAACCTGAAATTTTATTAGTATCGGTTCAGACTTAGTCATGATCGATTTCGATATTTCTTTTCGAATTAGTTTAATAAGTATTAGTGTACTGATAGACATTTTTTCTTTTTAATTGGAAGAATATTGTAATGCGTTCAGTTTCAGTTACTCTTCCATAATTAATTACATGTAAATTTTGACTTATAATGCTTAAAAAACTTTCGAACAGAAAGTCGTAAGAAATGCAGTAAGCCCTTATTTTATTCAGAATATTGTGCACTTAAAGATACTACTCTAAAAAAATTGATTTTCATAAAATCTTCTGAAATCTAGAAACTATCATATTTGATTTCTAAAAAAAAACAATTCCTCAAAAAGTTCATCTATGAAATGCACTTAATAGAAAACTTCATTGATTATTATTTTATATTTTTGGATTTTACAAAATTTTCAATAAATAATATCTATGTATTGTTGGACTTATGTCTATTTTATTGCTAATTGAATTATTCTAACAATTTTATATACTTAAAAAAAATAAATTACCTGTAGTTCTAAGATTTTTTAATTTTATAATTCCTCCAACGATGCCTTGTTCAGCTTGAAATATAGATTTTTGAAGACCTAATGAAAAAAAAATTGATCTTTGTCCTTCATTTGTTAATGTTAAACTTCCAGTTGAACAAACATCTGTTGTATTCCATTCAACTTTGCCCATAACATTTGACATACGCATAGATATTTGTAATTCTTTTAATTGTATAGCTACAAGTACTCGAGCTTCTTTACGTAATTGTTTATTTGTTGTTGTTTTAATTATAATTGGTGCTATTGGTCGTATTATTGTATTTGATGATGATATTCTTGTTGGTAAATTTTCATCACCTAAAAATAGTCGACGAGCTAATGAACGATTATACCATATTTTTGGAAATGTTAAAATTTCTGAAAAACGTCTTATATCATATTCAAATTGTGCTTTTGATATTTGTCCAATAACAGATAATTGTATACTATTTAATAATTCACCATCACGTTCAATTAATGTATAACGTGTACGTGATATATTAAATGAAACTGATTGTACACTAACAGCTAATGCATTACGTGTTTGTAATTGTCCTGAACGTATATCTTCAAATAAATGTACTTTTGATTCACCAGAAAATGGATGATAAACATTAAGTTTAAAATCTTTCATATAAAGTGAAAAACTTAAACCACCTAAAGAATTTTCAATAATTTGTTCAGAATCATTTTCAAGTGTAGTTGTTGTTGTTGTTGTTGATGATGATGATGACAATGGTATATTATCTGGTAATGCACGTTTTGATGAAAATACAACATCAACTGTTGGTAAACGAAGTTCACATTCCATTGGATGAGTTGGTAAACATGTAAAAAGAAGAACTGATGGTTGAATAAAAAGACTAACAACAACATCAATTGGAAATGATGTTGTTGATGATGGATCTTCAATTAAAAACCTACGATAATAAAAATTAAAATAAAGATCAATGAAAGATAATTTTTTTTATTCATTTGATACAGAAAATTGTCTTAAATGACACGATGTATCCCACCAAAATGCTTACTGATGACTAGAGCCTATTAGGTTCAAACTTTTCAGACTCAGATCTGATGGGCTCTACTATTAACAAATCAAAATAATATTATCTTTATGACTACAAGAAAGATCTTTAACAGTTAACATGATCCTGTTTGAGTAGATATACTTTTGTTCTTGCTAAAAAAATTTTTGTACTGGATGCATCGTCGCTTGAGGATTGCTTGGGTCAGAGGATATAATACAGCAATAAATTAATAAAGTATTTGCTAGATGTGAAAAGATCGATTCATGATTCTTACAAATATTTTATTAAATTATTTTTTGATAACTTATTATAAATATTTTTGTTTAATTTTTTTTTTCTTTCGAATTCTAGTAGTTTGTTGTCAATTATAAAATCTAACTTACATCGTATTTAAATGATCATTAGTAGAATTTTGTCCATTAATTGTTTGTATTTGTTCTTGTTGTAAATTAGTTTGTCGTTCTTGTTCACTTGGTAATGTAACATGTTCAAGTGTTTGTTCAAGAAAATCAAGTAATAATGGATGTATTGTTATTTGTGTTGTTGGTGATTGTATCATAGCACGACAATAAAAACTAGCTCGTTTATTTAATGCACTATTTATTGTATTATTATGTTTAGAATTATAATGTGCATCAACATCAACACCCGGTAAAGAAAATTGTGATACTTGATATTCAATTTTATTTATATTTACAATTGAACCAATACTTGTTTGTGATTGTTGTTGCTGTTGTTGTTGTTGTTGTTGTTGTTGTTGTTGTTTTGAAGAATTTATTGTTGTTAATGATGAATTTGATATTAAATCACGACATGTATAAAGATTACATGAACCACTAGCTATTTGAATATGTACATTTAATTCTAAATCAACAGCTGGTGCTGATGTTATTTCATTTGGTGTATTTGTTGTTATTGAATAAAGATCATCAAATACTGATGGTTCTTGTGAAGAAAAACTAAAATAAATTTAACAAAGAAAAAGCTGTTAACACAATCCCTACGAAATTAAAATGTGAAATACGATGTTGTTGTTAACCCATTCGCGGTGACATGAATATTTCTTTTGCATAACTCGTGAAAGGTTTCATTTCTTTATTTGTTGCAATTGTAGTACTTCAAAACAAGTTTTATCAATGTTTCACTTATCAATATGAGCTATGAACATTCCTTTATTAGCGGTAAAAGAATCAACACCTTTGGTCAAAGTATGGCAGAGATATTCCATTTTTTCTGCGATAAATGAGCTTTTGGGCCGCCCTATAGTAGGTCCCACCGGTGGGATTCATCGCCTCGAAAGCATGAGTTGCCTAATTCGAATTCGAATATAAATGGACACTCAGCTACATAGTATCAATTCGAAAATAAGTGATAGAAATAGATTTAGTTTTAGATTTAGATTTACTTTAAGAGGGACTGC